GTAAACGTGAGTGGCATCTTATATACAAGGGTAACAATCGGCACCTTGCAACCCTCCTCTAGATCCACGTAAACGTGAGTGGCATCTTATATACAAGGGTAACAATCGGCACCTTGCAACCCTCCTCTAGATCCACGTAAACGTGAGTGGCATCTTATATACAAGGGTAACAATCGGCACCTTGCAACCCTCCTCTAGATCTACGTAAACGTGAGTGGCATCTTATATACAAGGGTAACAATCGGCACCTTGCAACCCTCCTCTAGATCTACGTAAACGTGAGTGGCATCTTATATACAAGGGTAACAATCGGCACCTTGCAACCCTCCTCTAGATCTACGTAAACGTGAGTGGTGTCTTATATACAAGGGTAACAATCGGCACCTTGCAACCCTCCTTCTAGATCCACGTAAACGTGAGTGGTGTCTTATATACAAGGGTAACAATCGGCACCTTGCAACCCTCTTCTAGATCCACGTAAACGTGAGTGGTGTCTTATATACAAGGGTAACAATCGGCACCTTGCAACCCTCCTCTAGATCCACGTAAACGTGAGTGGTGTCTTATATACAAGGGTAACAATCGGCACCTTGCAACCCTCTTCTAGATCCACGTAAACGTGAGTGGTGTCTTATATACAAGGGTAACAATCGGCACCTTGCAGCCCTTTTCTAGATTCACGTAAACGTGAGTGGCGGCTGATATACAAGGGTAACAATCGGCACCTTGCAGCCCTTTTCTAGATTCACGTAAACGTGAGTGGCGGCTGATATACAAGGGTAACAATCGGCACCTTGCAGCCCTTTTCTTGATTCACGTAAACGTGAGTGGCGGCTGATATACAAGGGTAACAATCGGCACCTTGCAGCCCTTTTCTTGATTCACGTAAACGTGAGTGGCGGCTGATATACAAGGGTAACAATCGGCACCTTGCAGCCCTCTTCTAGATTCACGTAAACGTGAGTGGCGGCTGATATACAAGGGTAACAATCGGCACCTTGCAGCCCTTTCTTGATTCACGTAAACGTGAGTGGCGGCTGATATACAAGGGTAACAATCGGCACCTTGCAGCCCTTTCTAGATTCACGTAAACGTGAGTGGCGGCTGATATACAAGGGTAACAATCGGCACCTTGCAGCCCTTTCTTGATTCACGTAAACGTGAGTGGCATCTGATATACAAGGGTAACAATCGGCACCTTGCAGCCCTTTCTTGATTCTGACGTAAACGTAACAATCGGTGGCGGCTCACGTAAATATACAAGGGTAACAATCGGCACCTTGCAGCCCTTTTTCTTGATTCACGTAAACGTGAGTGGCGGCTTATATACAAGGGTAACAATCGGCTTGCAGCCCTTTTCTTGATTCACGTAAACGTGAGTGGCGGCTGATATACAAGGGTAACAATCGGCACCTTGCAGCCCTTTTCTTGATTCACGTAAACGTGAGTGGCGGCTGATATACAAGGGTAACAATCGGCACCTTGCAGCCCTTTTCTTGATTCACGTAAACGTGAGTGGCGGCTGATATACAAGGGTAACAATCGGCACCTTGCAAACCCTTTTCTTGATTCACGTAAACGTGAGTGGCGGCTGATATACAAGGGTAACAATCGGCACCTTGCAGCCCTTTTCTTGATTCACGTAAACGTGAGTGGCGGCTGATATACAAGGGTAACAATCGGCACCTTGCAGCCTTTTTTCTGATTCACGTAAACGTGAGTGGCGGCTGATATACAAGGGTAACAATCGGCACCTTGCAGCCCTTTTCTTGATTCACGTAAACGTGAGTGGCGGCTGATATACAAGGGTAACAATCGGCACCTTGCAGCCCTTTTCTTGATTCACGTAAACGTGAGTGGCGGCTGATATACAAGGGTAACAATCGGCACCTTGCAGCCCTTTTCTTGATTCACGTAAACGTGAGTGGCGGCTGATATACAAGGGTAACAATCGGCACCTTGCAGCCCTTTTCTTGATTCACGTAAACGTGAGTGGCGGCTGATATACAAGGGTAACAATCGGCACCTTGCAGCCCTTTTCTTGATTCACGTAAACGTGAGTGGCGGCTGATATACAAGGGTAACAATCGGCACCTTGCAAACCCTTTTCTTGATTCACGTAAACGTGAGTGGCGGCTGATATACAAGGGTAACAATCGGCACCTTTGCAGCCCTTTTTCTTGATTCACGTAAACGTGAGTGGCGGCTGATATACAAGGGTAACAATCGGCACCTTGCAGCCCTTTTCTTGATTCACGTAAACGTGAGTGGCGGCTGATATACAAAGGGTAACAATCGGCACCTTGCAGCCCTTTTCTTGATTCACGTAAACGTGAGTGGCGGCTGATATACAAGGGTAACAATCGGCACCTTGCAGCCCTTTTCTTGATTCACGTAAACGTGAGTGGCGGCTGATATACAAGGGTAACAATCGGCACCTTGCAGCCCTTTTCTTGATTCACGTAAACGTGAGTGGCGGCTGATATACAAGGGTAACAATCGGCACCTTGCAGCCCTTTTCTTGATTCACGTAAACGTGAGTGGCGGCTGATATACAAGGGTAACAATCGGCACCTTGCAGCCCTTTTCTTGATTCACGTAAACGTGAGTGGCGGCTGATATACAAGGGTAACAATCGGCACCTTGCAGCCCTTTTCTTGATTCACGTAAACGTGAGTGGCGGCTGATATACAAGGGTAACAATCGGCACCTTGCAGCCCTCCTTTTTCTTGATTCACGTAAACGTGAGTGGCGGCTGATATACAAGGGTAACAATCGGCACCTTGCAGCCCTTTTCTAGATTCACGTAAACGTGAGTGGCGTCTTGATATACAAGGGTAACAATCGGCACCTTGCAGCCCTTTTCTTGATTCACGTAAACGTGAGTGGCGGCTTATATACAAGGGTAACAATCGGCACCTTGCAGCCCTTTTCTAGATCTACGTAAACGTGAGTGGCGTCTTATATACAAGGGTAACAATCGGCACCTTGCAGCCCTTTTCTTGATTCACGTAAACGTGAGTGGCGGCTGATATACAAGGGTAACAATCGGCACCTTGCAGCCCTTTTCTTGATTCACGTAAACGTGAGTGGCGGCTGATATACAAGGGTAACAATCGGCACCTTGCAGCCCTTTTCTTGATTCACGTAAACGTGAGTGGCGGCTGATATACAAGGGTAACAATCGGCACCTTGCAGCCCTTTTCTTGATTCACGTAAACGTGAGTGGCGGCTGATATACAAGGGTAACAATCGGCACCTTGCAGCCCTTTTCTTGATTCACGTAAACGTGAGTGGCGGCTGATATACAAGGGTAACAATCGGCACCTTGCAGCCCTTTTCTTGATTCACGTAAACGTGAGTGGCGGCTGATATACAAGGGTAACAATCGGCACCTTGCAGCCCTTTTCTTGATTCACGTAAACGTGAGTGGCGGCTGATATACAAGGGTAACAATCGGCACCTTGCAGCCTTTTTTCTTGATTCACGTAAACGTGAGTGGCGGCTGATATACAATATACAAGGGCACCCTTTTTCTTGAACGTAAATCGGTAACATCGGCACCTTGCAGCCCTTTTCTCTTGATTCACGTAAACGTGAGTGGCGGCTGATATACAAGGGTAACAATCGGCACCTTGCAGCCCTTTTCTTGATTCACGTAAACGTGAGTGGCGGCTGATATACAAGGGTAACAATCGGCACCTTGCAGCCTTTTTCTTGATTCACGTAAACGTGAGTGGCGGCTGATATACAAGGGTAACAATCGGCACCTTGCAGCCCTTTTTTCTTGATTCACGTAAACGTGAGTGGCGGCTGATATACAAGGGTAACAATCGGCACCTTGCAGCCCTTTTTTCATTCACGTAAACGTGAGTGGCGGCTGATATACAAGGGTAACAATCGGCACCTTGCAGCCCTTTTCTTGATTCACGTAAACGTGAGTGGCGGCTGATATACAAGGGTAACAATCGGCACCTTGCAGCCCTTTTCTTGATTCACGTAAACGTGAGTGGCGGCTGATATACAAGGGTAACAATCGGCACCTTGCAGCCCTTTTCTTGATTCACGTAAACGTGAGTGGCGGCTGATATACAAGGGTAACAATCGGCACCTTGCAGCCCTTTTTCTTGATTCACGTAAACGTGAGTGGCGGCTGATATACAAGGGTAACAATCGGCACCTTGCAGCCCTTTTTCTTGATTCACGTAAACGTGAGTGGCGGCTGATATACAAGGGTAACAATCGGCACCTTGCAGCCCTTTTTCTTGATTCACGTAAACGTGAGTGGCGGCTGATATACAAGGGTAACAATCGGCACCTTGCAGCCCTTTTCTTGATTCACGTAAACGTGAGTGGCGGCTGATATACAAGGGTAACAATCGGCACCTTGCAGCCTTTTCTTGATTCACGTAAACGTGAGTGGCGGCTGATGTACAAGGGTAACAATCGGCACCTTGCAGCCTTTTTCTTGATTCACGTAAACGTGAGTGGCGGCTGATATACAAGGGTAACAATCGGCACCTTGCAGCCCTTTTCTTGATTCACGTAAACGTGAGTGGCGGCTGATATACAAGGGTAACAATCGGCACCTTGCAGCCCTTTTCTTGATTCATGTAAACAGGAGTGGCGGCTGATATACAAGGGTAACAATCGGCACCTTGCAGCCCTCTTCTACATCCACGTAAACAGGAGTTGCGGCTGATATACAAGGGTTACTATCAGGACCAGTCTGAATCCTGGATGACAAGTTGCCTGCAGATCGATTTATTTAGAAATGGTAATAGCTGAAAGCACATGAGAAAGCAACGCAATATCTGTAGACATTACACCCACCCAAACAGAAATGCCCCATAGTGGTACAGACAATGAATTGGGGTGTGAATACAAAGTTTAATGTGATTGTAAAGGTCTGGCCAATCAGATAACATGTAATGTATCGAGTTCACCATTCATGTTCGCCACGAGCTATAATGCCATTCATTTAGGGTGGTTTCCTCACCGAGGGTGCACGGATCTCTAGTACGTCCTTGTCAGCCATTTCCAATGCGTCCTGTACTTCTTGTGTGGCTGTTTGGCATAGCATTTCTGCCAGAGAGCCAGCAGTTGGAATCTTCAGGTATATCCCTTGGAAGTCTATCACAGAAACCTTTAAGTAGCGTGGCAGGTTCTTTGAATACACTCTCAAGCAAAGGTTCTATTTCTAAGCAATCTAATAATCAACCATCCAACGGCCCTGATCCTTACATCGCCATAGCGGAACAAGATGCCCTAAGCAACACCTTTGGCATAGAACATATTCAGCTTGCATACAGAAACGGCAACACGATGAGCAAGGCACAATGCATGCAAAATTGTAGTATGGATGATTCTTGCGTAGTGGCGATGTACTGCAATGACAGCCCAGTGGAGGAAAACTGTGCCAATCTCCTGAAGTGCACCATCACGAGGAGGGAGAAGGGACGCCTGTGTCACACGTACGTGACAGCTGACAACCCAAGCTACCTCCCACACAGCTACTCCGCCAGTTCGTGCCAGTACCTAAGTATACGTAAGTACTGAAACGTTTCTTCCATATATTGGTCTGTAGCAGAGAGACTTAAAATAATAAAAGTGAATGAACTTGAGTGTTTTGTTTGCTTAAAACATGTTACCGTGTTACCAAATGATTTTGTAATACTACCAGTCAATCAACCATTCAAAATAGAGAAATCCAGAAATGGTTTAGTTTTGACAATGTAATACTAAATAAACCGCAAACCGATATGATCGGTTTCCTAGTGACGAGGCACCGCCTCTGTGGTGTATTGCTTAGAGCGTCCACCCGGAGATCGCAAGGTCGCGTGTTCGATCCCCGACCGCGTAATACCAAAAGACGTTAAAATATGGTACTTGTTGGTCCCTGTCTGGCACTCGGCATTAATGGGTAAAAGAAGGACTGGTCGGTTCGGAGTCAGTTTAATGTGTCTGAGTGGGGTATTCCTGCTTAACAGGGTCATGGTATCTCAGAGGGCTAGCACTAAAAAAACAGCTTAAGTCTGGGCTAGTACAAGCAGCCACACATACACACGCATGCACGTCGCCATATGAGCGAAATATCCTCCAGTACGACGTTAAACCCCATTTCACATGTTAGTGACGAGAATATCTACTGTTGAGAGGTTTGCTGAAGTTCTTTATAATGCCAGTCACGAATATCATCGCTCTTTAGCATTTTTCTTTCTATCCCGTCGTTCCTTTACAGATCCGAACTGTCGCAACCAGCCACAGATCTCCAACACCAACGTTGATCAACATCCAACACTGGAGGAGGGGGTCGTCCGATACCGATATGTATGTGCAGCTGGCTACGAGAATTCTAACAAAGGCTCGGTATTTGGTGTGTGCGACAAGCAAGGAAACTGGATCTTTCCTTCTCTCGCCTGCAGACAATCTCAGTGTACGTCCCACATTTCATATTCAGTGAGAGTTCATTTTAACGCAGCTTCTAACAGTATCTCCCTTTATATCGTGATATATTCGTAAATGTATGGTGAAATCAACGAGGATCGCTATGATACTTGCAAACGTAAAGTAATAATCTGGGAATGGAACCATTGACAATCGGAGTCTGCTCAGTGTAAGGGACACAACTCTGTTATTCTGCCTTTTTCACTCAAGTATATTTATATATTTGATCATGTCATAAGTTTAAAACTAGATCGTATAAGAAACTGATTCAGAAAATCAAAATCAGATATTTCCAACTGCCAAGGAGACCTTGTCTTAGTCCTCTTTCGATCGATTTCTGGCAATGCATGAAGCAGCAAAACGCACATGTAACGTACGGCATGATGAGAGTCGAGAGGTTCCATGTACATATGCAATGGTTGTCAAGGTGTAATTGTAATATGCCCCTTGGGATTTGGGGTTAGCTAACTCAGCACTCAGCAATATTCCTGCTATATGTTCCTCACACCACAGTGACCTAGATGTCGCGGTACCCTGACGGTATGCAGGGCGGCACAATTTAATATCAATGGATTGTTTGGTCAAGTCCCGATTATTTATAGGCCGCAGCCTGGAATGTTGGAGTGTTGCGTTGAACGACAAATTCAAACAAAACTCATCCTATCCTATACCGCTTCTATTGTTCTGTATCATCTACTGTTCTGTATCTACTGTTCTGCATCTACTGTTCTGTATCTACTGTTCTGCATCTACTGTTCTGTATCATCTACTGTTCTGTATCTACTGTTCTGTACCATCTACTGTTCTGTATCTACTGTTCTGTATCTACTGTTTCTGTATCTACTGTTCTGTATCATCTATCTACTGTTGTCTACTGTTCTGTATCTACTGTTCTGTATCATCTACTGTTCTACATCATCTACTGTTCTGCATCTACTGTTCTGTATCTACTGTTGTTCTGTTCTGTATCTACTGTTCTGTATCTACTGTTCTGTATCATACTGTTCTGTATCTACTGTTCTGTTCTGTTCTCATCTACTGTTCTGTTCTGTATCTACTGTTCTGTTCTGTATCATCTACTGTTCTGTATCTACTGTTCTGCATCTACTGTTCTGTATCTACTGTTCTGTATCTACTGTTCTGTATCTACTGTTCTGTCATCTACTGTTCTGTATCTACTGTTCTGTATCATCTACTGTTCTGTATCTACTGTTCTGTATCATCTACTGTTCTGTATCATCTACTGTTCTGCATCTACTGTTCTGTATCATCTACTGTTCTGCATCTACTGTTCTACATCTACTGTTCTGCATCTACTGTTCTGTATCAACTGTTCTGTATCTACTGTTCTGCATCTACTGTTCTGTATCAACTGTTCTGTATCTACTGTTCTGCATCTACTGTTCTGCATCTACTCTGTATCTACTGTTCTGCATCTACTGTTCTGTATCTACTGTTCTGTATCATCTACTGTTCTGTATCTACTGTTCTGTATCTACTGTTCTGTATCTACTGTTCTGCATCTACTGTTCTGTATCTACTGTTCTGTATCTACTGTTCTGCATCTACTATTCTGTATCTACTGTTCTGTATCATCTACTGTTCCGAATTGCAGCGAAAGGAGCCCCCTCCTCATTAATCAGCATCGTCCGGAAAGCCACGGCAGTTGGAGGAAAGCAGGGTGTACAAGGTCCAGTTGAGATTCAGCTAGCGCCACCAGACGTCGGTGGGTTGTTCGGTGATTCGGCAGTTGCAGCCCGGCCTCCTCAGGATGCACCAGCACCTGCCACAGCATCCAACTCGGCGTTAGAACAGGCTGCACAGCATATCAAATCTCAAATCTTAAATGGTGTGTAAATCTGGACTACTGGTTATATCCCCATAGCTTGAATCACCAAAATTTCATTGTGGGGCAGTTATATGTGTAACACAATATTTCATAATGAAGGTGTACCTTCGTCATAACTGTAATTTCAGGGGACCATTCAATAAACAATTGAACGCTGTGTTTGTTTGTTGTTTAACGTATCTCGGCAATATTCTAGCTACACACTTCAAAATGTGAAACACAACTGTCACACAGTTACTGTGCTAAATGTTGAATGTGCATATTCCATTTAACGATACACAGATCGATGATACTTAGGGACCGTTCATAAATTATTGGGGTGTGGGGTGTGTGTGTGTGATGATTTTAAAGGGGAGGGGGTTGGGGGTGGGTGTCACCCATTTTGTTTTGCTGAGGTGGGGGCATCAATTTTGTACACATGTTGGGGGTTGGGTGTCAGCAATTATTTTGTACATAAAAATATATATTAAAAAACTATACTTTAAAATTATGGGAGGGAGGGGTCGGGGTCGTTGATTTTGTGCATATCATGCAGTGTGGGTGACTTACTTTGTACAGAAATTTAAGGGGTGGGGTGAGGGGTGCAATCACATTGTACATCCTTTTCCATAAAAATCATCATTCCCCTAGCCATAAATTATGAACGGTCCCTTGGCACGTTCTCAGATTCTACAGACATAATGGCCAAACCGTACGTGCACAAGTGGGGTGGAGGGGGATCGATCTATACCTAGTGTGACCACTGTGTACTGACTGTTCTATAACTCCTTGGCACAGACTTATTCTGTCCTATAGAATTCTCCGCTATTCTTCCTGCTACGCTTTGTAAGCTATACAAGCGTCTTTGGAGTATGCCGTTGATGTGCAAATCTATCCCGTTCATCCCAAACATGCTCTTTCGGGTTAAGATCCAGAAGGCCATGGCAAACAATGACGTTTGAACAATTAAGAAAGTCAGCCACACGAACTGTGTGTTCTGTTGCGCTGTCATGTTGAAACACCTCCCTCCGTCGAATGATAATCTGAAAAAGGTGACATTGAAGAATTTTGTGGATATTCCCATTTGCTTCCAGATTCCTCAAAAGCACCGCCAACACACACACACACACACACACACACACACACACACACACACACGCTACACACACACACACACACACACACACACACACGCACGCACACACACACACACACACACGCGTGTGTGTAAGATATAGCCTCCATAACAGTACACTTGCCCCACTGAACGCAGTTCGGTGCAAAGCGTTTATTCTAAGTCGGTAGATACGCAAACTTCTTTGTGCTGGAGAAGAAATTCATGACTGAACCAAATTCGTGGCCAGTTTGTCAGTGTTAATGTATGGACGGTGCTGCTCCATCGCATGTTTGTCGTCGATGTTAAGGTCTCAATACTGGGACAAATACTGGCCTTCTGTGTCTAATCTCTACCTCTCGCAGATGAGACACAACACCTGCAGGCGCCAGCTGCAGTATGTCGTTGACGTAGGTGAACAACCCCGACGTATCCATCTTCTGCTGCAGTGGTCACTCTGAGTCTACAACTTCTCGGACGATCTTGATGCGGAAAGGTCATCCGAATTATACCCTATACTTGTAAGATGTTTGCTAAGGAACACCGCTTTATGAGGTAATGCGTCAAATTGTGTTCTTCTGTTCAAATAACCAATGACTATAGTACGTGAAAACATGTTTAATTAACAAACGTCGTGCCACACAACGCCCACAAACAAAATGTGACCAATAATTAGTCTTGGCATTGTGCCCCGTTGTAGGATATGGATATTGCTTCCTCCAGTTCGCCTGATTCCATCCCAGTCATGACTCTAATGTTTGGATACACTGAAATCCTGAAATCTTTCTCATTTTGTATGTCGCATTCAGGCCCGACTATCTGTGGATTTTTGACAGTATTTAGATCCATTAGTGGCGAAATACTGCAGCCGAGTCCTGGTGTGTCCAGTTCAGATGATGTTCAGCCTGCGATGCCGTAGCGGAGAGGATTACACAATTTCTGACAAGAAACGCAAACGTCACTGGTGTTCCTCAGGTCATTTCTACCCTGGCTCCGTACTAATGGGATAAACACCATCTGGTTGGAGGCTGTGATAAATGTCCGGATAGGATATTCGTGTTCAAATGCGGAATAACGCACGCACACGCACACACACACACACACACACACAAACAAACACACACGCCAACCTCTTGTTCAATCGATAATATTGTTACGAAGGGTGGTGGGGTAGCCTAGTGGTTAAAGCGTCCGCTCGTCACGCTGATGACCCTGGTTCGATTACCCATATGGGTACAATGTGTGAAGCCCATTTCTGGTGTCCCATGCCGTGGAATAATCGCTGGAATAATCGAGTAAGCTTCGAATTCCGCCAGATTGTGTCGTCTGTGTGGTTCAAGTTATACGGCCTATGTTACTGATCCCTTCACAAGGGACTGACTGACTGAGGCCATGGGTGAGCGGTAAACACTTTAATCAGATCATGAAGTCATGATTCCAATATCCATGACATATCTATGCGATATCTGTATCAAGATCAGCCCGCCATACTCACGTTGTCAATGTAGAAGTAAGTCAGTACCAGACAATGACACAGTCAGTACCAGACAATGACACAGTCAGTACCGCACAATGACACAGTCAGTACCGGACAATGACACAGTCAGTACCAGACAATGACACAGTCAGTACCAGACAATGACACAGTCAGTACCGGACAATGACACAGTCAGTACCAGACAATGACACAGTCAGTACCAGACAATGACACAGTCAGTACCGGACAATGACACAGTCAGTACCGGACAATGACAACACAGTCAGTACCAGACAATGACACAGTCAGTACCGGACAATGACACAGTCAACCGGACACACAGTCAGTACCGGACAATGACACAGTCAGTACCGGACATGACACCAGTCAGACACAACACACAGTCAGTACCGGACACATGACACAGTCAGTACCGGACAATGACACAGTCAGTACCAGACAATGACACAGTCAGTACCGGACAATGACACAGTCAGTACCAGACAATGACACAGTCAGTACCAGACAATGACACAGTCAGTACCGGACACATGACACACAGTCAGTACCATGACACATCACACAGTCAGTCAGTAAGAGACAATGACACAGTCAGTACCAGACACATGACACAGTCAGTACCAGACAGTCAGACACAGTCAGTACCAGGACATCACACACAGTCAGTACCAAGACACAGTCACACACAGTCAGTACCAGACACATGACACAGTCAGTACCAGACAATGACACAGTCAGTACCAGACACATGACACAGTCAGTACCAGACACATCACACACAGTCAGTACCAGACATCACACACAGTCAGTACCAGACACACCAGACACATGACACAGTCAGTACCAGACAGACACATCACAGTCAGTACCAGACACATCACACAGTCAGTACCAGACATCATGACACAGTCAGTACCAGAGACATCATGACACAGTCAGTACCAGACACATCACACACAGTCAGTACGGACACACACACAGTCAGTACCAGACACATCACACACAGTCAGTACCAGACACACAGTCAGTACCAGACACACACATCACAGTCAGTACCAGACACATCACACACAGTCAGTACCAGACACAGTCACACAGTCAGTACCAGACACATCACACACAGTCAGTACCAGACACATCACACAGTCAGTAGTCAGTACCGGACATCACACACAGTCAGTACCAGACACACACAGTCAGTACCAGACAATGACCAGTCAGTACATCAAACACAGTCAGTACCAGACATATCACACACAGTCAGTACCAGACACATCACACACAGTCAGTACCAGACACATCACATCACATACAGTCAGTGTCAGACACATCACACACAGTCAGTACCAGAAACATCAAACACAGTCAGTACCAGACACACCACACACAGTCAGTACCAGACACATCACACAGTCAGTACCAGACACATCAGACACAGTACACACACAAGTACCAGACCCATCACACAGTCAGTCAGCACCAGGTCACCGTCACACACACAGTCAGTGTCAGACACATAAAACAGACATCACACAGTCACCAGACACATCAAGACACAGTCAGTACCGGACACATCAAACACAGTCAGTACCACATGACACAGTCAGTACCAGACACACGACACAGAGTCAGTACCAGACACATCACACAGAGTCAGTACCAGACACATCAGTACCAGACACAGTCAGTACCAGACACATCACACACAGTCAGTACCAGACATCATCAAACAGTACCAGTCAGTCAGTACCAGACACATCAAACACAGTCAGCACCAGACACATCAAACACAGTCAGTGCCGGACACATCAAACATAGTCAGTACAAGACACAATAATCACAGTCAGTACCAGACACATCAAACACAGTCGGGACTGGACACATCAAACACAGTCAGTACCAGACACATCACACACAGTCAGTACCAGACACATCACACACAGTCAGTACCAGACACATCACCAGACACAGTCAGTACCAGACACATCACACACAGTCAGTACCAGACACACACAGTCACACACAGACAGTACCAGACACATCACACACAGTCAGTACCAGACACATCACACACAGTCAGTACCAGACACATCAAACACAGTCAGTACCAGACACATCAAACACAGTCAGTACCAGACACATCAAACACAGTCAGTACCAGACACATCAAACACAGTCAGAACCAGACACATCAAAGATAGTCAGTACCAGACACATCAAACACAGTCAGTACCAGACACATCAAACACAGTCAGTACCAGACACATCAAACACAGTCGGTACCAGACACATCAAACACAGTCAGTGCCGGACACATCAAACATAGTCAGTACAAGACACAATACTCACAGTCAGTACCAGACACATCACACAGAGTCAGTGCCGGACACACCACACAGAGTCAGTGCCAGACACACCACACACAGTCAGTACCAGACACATCACACAGAGTCAGTACCAGACACATCCACACAGAATCAGTGCCAGACACATCACACACAGTCAGTACCAGACATATCACACACAGTCAGTGCCAGACACATCACACACAGTCAGTACCAGACAC